AGATGGGGGGATTTGGGGAGTTTACTCTAGTATAGGATAGCAAAATTCAGCTGAACTAGCTCTGGTATAGGCTAAGGGTTCCAGTGTTCCAGCGGCACATCACCACCCAGAAATTCGCAAAGTACCTCCCCCGGGCATTTATCCCAGATCCGCGCCTGTTTCGAACATGGGAGACTATTGCAGGAGCTAAGCTATAGCTGGCACGAGTTTCAGCTTGAACAACACACCCAAGCTCTCCAACCGCAGCATAAAGTTGGCGATTAACTGGAGTGTTCAGTGCGATAGTTTATAGAGAATTTGCTGTTTACTTTACACTTTTTCTTAACACGTGCTATTTTGTTTTAGGGTGAATCATTGAAGGTAAAGAAAGCTAAACTCAAGGCACTTCAACAAGGAACAAGGAAAAAGAAAATCAGAACTGGTGTAGGTATAAAAACAAGGGGCAAGACCAAGCTTAAGACGAGAACTTCTTGATTCGATACGAAGTACTGAGACTGGAAAACTCCAATCACTTAAAAGTTACTTAACGCTGATCAATATTAAAGGAGCTACGTCACGTTTTGCGCAAGTTCAGTCTAGATTTTTCAAGTTCGTCATTTGCAATCCGTGTCAATCTTATCTATCCTTAACCACCCTTGTTCCTTAGGGGTTTATCGTTAGCTCTTTGGTGAATGCTTCCTGAAGTTGCGGTGATTATTCTCAGCAAAGTAACGTTGGTGTATAATAAGGTACTGCTTATTTTTGTCCAGGGTAGAAATTTGCGTCTTACCACAGAACAATTTGGAGAGCTTTGTTTGCGTGAGCTACTCCAGATTAACTTTTTTCTCGAGCTAATATTGTTAGAACACTACGTGTCAATTGTCTTGATTGGCAGAGTTCGTTGCGTTCAGACGAACCTGATTTGTTGTCTCATCGTTTACAACTCATCCACTGAGCTTCGACTAAAAAGTTGTCCTTTGGAAAAGTAAAAATGAAAATTTGCTTGCGCTATTGCAGACTTCTATGTCGAAATGTCTGATAAAATACACTGCTAGCCTTCGTTCTCTCTGAGCGATACTCTGTTAGACTGTGAGCAGTCTCTTTTGCCTTAAAATTCGCGGAGAACTTGAACGAAAAAGCGCGACAATGCGGGATATTTGAGCGGCACCCGCCGCTCGATATCCCACGCCCGCGCTCCTCGACACTCGAATATCTTGTGTTTGCGTTCTTTTCGGCAGATTTTTGAGCAAAAGAGAAACTGCTCGCAGCCTAGATTTCTTAAATCTTTTCTCGGTCTAATTTCTCTGGCTTGAGAAGCTGCGTATGTTTTTTCGCGTTGAGAAAACACAAAACTATGAACAGTCGAGGTTTCTGACATGCATCCTTCATAGGGTGTAACAATAATATTGATAATTTTGAGTGATGGTTAAGTGTGTCTCGTTCACTTACCTCTTCACGAAAACCTACTCGTTGGTAGGTAGCATAAGGAAGTAGTGTGCAACTTAAATGATCATAGCTAGGATTTCGTCCACAAATTGAAAGTTCACCTTCTATAGCATACAAAACAGTACCACATAAAAATACTGCCCAATAGCTTTCATTTGAATGGTCATACGCTAGGGTTTTATCCACAGACTTCAAAGTTAGAACCACCTTGTACAGCGTAATAAACAGTACCACATGAAAGTACTGCTCAATAGCTTTCATTTGAATGGTCATACGCTAGGGTTTCATCCACAGACTTTAAAGTGCCTATGAAGTAAAAAATAATTGCTGCTTGTTTGAAAGACTTTTCAGAGTAAAGAAGAATGGCGTTTTCCTCTTTAGAATATCTTTTTTCGTTTTAGAGATAGTTACGTTTTTGTAAGGAAAGTGATGACTTCATAGGTGGTTCCACTAAAACAGCACAACACTCAATTGAGAATAACTATAGAAATATTAAAGCAGTGTTCTTTAAACTTGGCACCAGAAATGTACATTACAAAAGAAACATAATGACACCTGTCGTCACATTGCCATGACAACAGTTATGCCGCTGGTTTTGTTTTAATTAAGACTAAAATTCCAAGATTTTATCTTGAAAGGGGATCATCCACTCCAACAATCTAATGGGGAGAGGTAAGACAATATGGGAACCATGTGTGTTCCGAGCAAGACCCTCTGTACCACTTTAAAAGGTTGCAAATAGGAATACTTGGTTTTTTGATAGAAAGAGACTGGAGCCAAGAGTGTTGCCATGGCAACAACATAGTAAGTGTCATTCTGTCTCTTTTGTGATGTACATTTCTAATGCCAAGTTTGAGGAACACTGCTTTAATATTTCTAGAGTTTTTCTCGATTGAGTGTTATGCTGTTTTAGAGGAACCACCTATGACGTCATCCTTTTCCTCATTTGTACAATACAAAAACATGAATATCTCTAAAACGAAAAAAAGATATTCCAAAAAGGAAAATGCCATTCTTCTTTACTTTGAAAAGCCTTTCAAATGAGCAGGAATTATTTTTTACTTCACAAGCACTTAAAAGTTAGAACCACCTTGTGCAACATAATAAACAGTGCCACGTGAAAGTACTGCTCAATAGCTGTCACTTGTATGAATACAAGGAGCTTTCACCCTTCGACTTTTCTGAAACCACTCTAAAGTAAATCTAAACCACACAAAAACAAAAATACGACACTGTGAAGTAAATATAGTCATTTATTAAATTATTTATTTCCTGCTAAAATAATTCTGTGCATGTTTCTTTTGATGTTAAAAACTTTTCTATACCATTGCGTTGGGCGTGATTCCTCCACTGTAAAGCTCAACAATAAATAAATTCCTATCTTTTAATGGACATGTTTGTGATGTTGTTTTATGTTGCGTTGAAACAAGATTTGAGATGTGAACGAGTTTGGATTGTAGAGTGCTAGACTTATCTTAGTCTCACGTACGGAAATTTTTGTTTTGCCACGTAATCTTTCCTTAATTTGTCACACAATCTTTCCTTAATTTGTCACACAATCTTTCCTTAATTTGTCATTTAATCTTTGCTTAATTGTGTCACACAATCTCTGCTTAATTTGTCTCACAATCCTTACTAGAAGAAAAGATTACCAGGAACCAAAAGGTCATCTACTAAAAGGTGTCTGAATGGATAACTTCTACCACAAAACCACCTTTCTTAGTTCCTGTACAGCCAATATGTTCTCTCCTTTTTTTAGTAATATTGCGTATTTTCAATGTCATTATAAGTTATTTGTTAATCAGGCAATGTTGATCTGTCCCACCATTGGTATCTATTCCTTGACTGTACATTAACCCTTTTTCATCCAACACCCATTCTTGGAGGGCTTTTATCGTTGTAAATCCCTTTATAAAACCACCACAATAGAAAAGGTCAGCCTTAATGAAATCTCAAAATCCAGCCATTCCTGTTAGGCTTCTGATTCGCTCGTACACAAGCCAGAATGTTAAAGACCAAGGAGCCTGAAAAGCAATCATAACAGTGTCAGCATAAACATACCAAGTGGTCATGGAATCGTCTTTCTCACACACCACTGGTAGCTTTGTCAAGCTCACTGCTGCCACCTGACCTTTATACCAAAATCAAAGCTAATACAAGTCGCATTACGCTCAAGACTGGAAATAACAAAAAAAGTTCAAGGCTTGTACATCATACTGGCATTGTATAAAAGCTTAAAATCTTCAGGTGGGCGGGCGAGAAAGTCGGCAATGGCAGATGCACCAAAAGCAATTGCCCACCCCATAGGTCACATGATCTATACCCAGGCCCCAGTGGAGTTGGAGAAAAACATTTTTCACTTGTTTTGTTTCACTCAGTCAGAGAAAAATCACTCTTTTTCTCTGTTTATATCATCCAACCAGTCTCCATAAAAAAAAAGACAACAAACTTACCATCCTACTCCAAGTTGGTAGCCACCCCTTATATAATGAAAAGAAACCTTCCTCACGAACCTAAGGTACATAGGGGAAAACAAACAAACAAAGTGCATAGTAATAAGTAATTAGTTGCGGCTTAAAGTTTTTGCACTCAACCGATAACCATTCCAAAGTTCTGAAAGAAAACAGTGTCTAACTAGCCTTGCCCCAACCTTTATAATATATCACACAAAGCAAATATTATGGTACATAACACTTATTTTTTTACTTAATATTATTATTCATTAATATAACAGACTTATCCTTCTCTCCTCTGTAGAAAAAAAGACCTTGAGTTAACAGCGACACCAATGAAAATAAAAACCCTGTCAAAATTTCCACCTCGATGTCATGAATTAGTCTGTCCCAGACCTTTATTTTGTCAAGTTCTTCGAGAAAGAAAAAGTATTTAATATTTAACTGCAGGGGATTTGAAAAAAGCCTGAACACAAGGGGGTCATTTTTTGTGCCCGATTTACGACTTGTGGACAAACTGCCATAAATCTGAAAATAATATCTGGATTCAAAGTGCTTGTGATGTGACTATGTATAACCATTTTGACTCTTAGCAGTACATGATCCGTCATGTATATCCATAATATTATTAATGCTCAAAACTGTCATTAAGTTTTGAGACACCAGTAGCCTCAGTCTCCACACCCGTAGCAACCTTGTTACTTTGTGCTTGAATGCTATCAACAACAGGCAATTTCACCTATAGCATCAAGGGAAAATCAAGCATACTCAGCCGTAACAGGTGTTACAGGTTACGGCCCCTAATGCTCATGCGTGAAGAGTATCTATTGCAACATACTGCCTTCAAGAAACAGTCGATTGATCCTCTGTATACTTTTGGGTTGTTCATAATTCTTGTTTTCACAACATCTGCTGGAGTGCTAATGGTTGCAGCAATTAGTCCTGCACAGCCACTGAGAAACAAATCATTTAATAAATCATTAATAAATACGATTAACAATCCCAGATTGCTTCAAGTCATCTACCCTGCAAGCAGAGCTGCTTCGGGTACAAGTCATCCAGTCTTGACACAATTTAAATTAATTTATTGAAGGTTGGTTTTGACAATGCATAAGCATCAGCTGACATATGCAGATCTGCACTAAGAGCACTGCCATTTAGTAATGCCTTTTGTTAGGAATTTTCCTATTAAACAAAAGGGGCTAATTATTAACATTGTATTGCAGGCAATGTCGATCTGTCCACCAATGATATCTATGATCCCTTGACTGTTCATTGACGATTTTTTCTCTAACACCCATTCTTGAAGGGCTTTCATCATTGTAAATCCTTTTATGAAACCACCACAATAGAAAAGTTCAGCATTAATGAAATCTTAAAATCCAGCCATTCCTGTTACATTTCTGATTACAAGTCATTCAGTCTTGACACAATTTAAATTAATAATTGAAGGCTGGTTTTGACAATGCATAAGCATCAGCTGACATACATTGTATGCAGATCTGCACCAAGAGCACTGTCATTTAGTAATGCCTTTTGTTAGGAATTTTTCTATTAAACAAAAGGCACTGATTATCAACATTTTATTGCATCTGTGCATGTCGGCTTATGCACATGACCTAGTGAAAACCAGCATTAATTGATAATTTCTGACTCAATCATTGTTCTAAATTTATAACATTTTACAATACACTAATACAGCTTTCTTTACCTTGATATAGTGTGTGTAACCCAGTTGTCTTGTAAACTTGTGTGAGCAAGCAGCATATGTTTAACAGTATCATAAGTTGTAAGATCTGGTAACAAATTTGAAAAAAAGGTATGGCTGATTAAAAAGGTTGTCCTCAGTAATAAAAACAATTCAGGAGAAATTTAGTTCTATTAACAATAAATTTCTGATAATAATGTAAAAGTCACCTACATAATACATTGCCAGCTCTGTGAAAGAAGAATATTGAGGTATGTACTGTGAGAGTTAAAATCTTGCCCAAGATAATCTCACTGGGCCACCACTTCTATCTGTAAGCCTTCAATACTCCTTATCAATACAGAAAGCCCTCAAGCTACTCACATACTGCTTATTTATTTAGCTAAATATTATTAATATCATTATTGTTAAAGGGGCTCAGTCACTGTATTTTGAGTTATTTTGGCCGCATACAAAATTACCTTTAAATGGTAGGAAACCTGAAAATAACAGTTTAATAGGATAGAAAAACACCAAAGACATAATNTTCTATCTGTAAGCCCTCAATACTCCTTATCAATACAGAAAGCCCTCAAGCTACTCACATACTGCTTATTTATTTAGCTAAATATTATTAACATTATTGTTAAAGGGGCTCAGTCACTGTATTTTGAGTTATTTTGGCCACATGCAAAATTACCATTAAAAGGTAGGAAACCTGAAAATAACAGTTTAATAGGATAGAAAAACACCAAAGACATAATGATAAACCATAAAGGAACAAGGATGGCCAAGGATGGAGAAGATTAACATGGATTACAAACTGCAAATTTGAAAAACTGAGGCTAATTTTTTCAATATGTGCAAACCATGACTGAGCTCCTTTAAATTTTCTACACATCTACACACAATACAGCTCAGATATAAGTTACTTTTCACGTGTCCACAGCCTTTGTGGATCTAACTTGTACTTAACATTAAATGTACCTCCCATATTAACCAGAGCTGCCCTTTGCACATTGGGAGCCCATCCTTTCCAAAGTCCTCGTACTCCATGTTTATTGACAATATTTGAAAAGGCATGTGAAGTGTTGAGTACCCTAGATAGAAAGAAATTGAAACTGGAAATTGAAAAAAGGAATTGAAGCTGGATTTTAAATTTTAAAATACATAGTACTACATCATACTTCGGCAATCTATCTTTCAACCTTGTCCAATATAAGAGAACTCATTTCCAAAACAAAACCTTGACAGTCAGGTTGCAAGGGTGTGTGCAGTAATACTGACAGAAAGGATTGGCTAACAATTATCATGGTGGATGTTCTAAGTCATACCTTGGTCTTCTTCCCTCTACAAGAACTCGTTTCCCTTCCATCTGCATCTGTACCTTGACTAAGTCTGTTGGACTAGCTATCAACTGGCCAAATGCGCCAGCCGTCATTCCCGCAATAACTGATTTCCTAGAATGCAGTCATTAATGAGAGTTATTGACCATCAGCACTGACGGCAGAAAAAATTAAATTTCATGAGGGGAAAAAACCACTCACCATAAGGCAAATTTGCCATCTGGGTTTCTTTTCAACACTTTGTTCCTTAAAAATTCATAAGCTGTCATTCTTGAGCCTGTGTAGACTAAAACATACCACAAAAAAAGAGATAAATTCGCAACCTTGTTTCAGACAAAATTGCAAATTAAAATAAGTATCCAGCATTCCAGACGATACATNCCCCCCCCCCCCTCACCCCTTCCCAGGATCTATGCCTGCTTAATGTTATATCCCATATTATCAAGATGACCCTGGGTATAGGTATTGAATTTTTGAGACTCCAGATCAAATACTGGTCACTACATATTAGAAAGAGAAGTTCTTGAAATTTTTGGAGGTTGACCTGAGATACTGTAAGTTGTGCCTTCATTAAAAATTGCTGATCTCCCAGATATCAATTTTTTGGGATTGATAATTATCTCCTCCATCCCTTGTAGTTGCCCTAAGTCTTATCATTTAAAAAAAAAAAGGAATAAATAATAAATGAATACCCAGAGCTTACCAATATGTCTCAAAATAGCAGGTGTAACTCCACTCCAGAGATTTCTCAGCCCTTCCTCCTCAACTGACAAAAAAGAAAGTTAGTCTTAAAGTGACATGCTTAGAGTACTAGTGAATAAGTCTTAAGAGAACTTGGATAATTATGTAAATATTGTCCTTACCAATTCCCACTGCCGTCCTCACCATCCCCCGGTAAGGCACATTTGCTGCTGTTGTAGAAGGCACTGTGGATGCCCTCTCTCCTTGGATTTGCAGGCGGGTTTTTGTTATGTCGAGAGGAAAGGTCACTTCAATGGAAAATTTACTCCGTCAGTATACATGTACATATACAATCAATTATTGTGGAATAAATAGAATTTCTTGTACACTTGGTGGCTGGGAAAATTTGTGTTTAATTAAGAATATGAAAAGAATGTTGGGCAAGAATCAGCTCTTGGTTGAGAATGCATTGTCTTGAAGCACCTGCTAACTAAATTTCTAAACAAAATTTGTTTCACAATTGACTCAAAAGGATTTATATTTTTAAAGCTTGCATCGTCTTATTCGGAGTGTGTTCATAATAAATTATGCAAAGGTCACCTTACAATGTTTAGTTGCTATCACATATCTTGCATCACCATAGGGACAAAAACACAGGGTCTTATATATATAAAAATTCTACATTGAAACTTAAGCGTAACTGTAATATTATTTATTTTATTTCATCTTTTTAACTCTTGAGTTTACTTTCTGTCTGTGAATTATTAACGAAGCAAACGATTTTTTCATAAGCCATCTTCTTTAAAAAATAAAGAATATATCAAGAAGTGAGAGAAGTGACTGGGAAGGACGTGAGCACAAAAATCTGAGTCATTGCTTCATTCAATGGACTTTGATCAACATGAGGTTAAAGTTCAAATTAAAATGTAGGTTCGATAATTTTTATTTTTTTTATTTTTTTTTATTTTTTGTACGACCTTCATCATTTAGTCGTTTAAAGATAATTTCAGTTAACTTCGGCTTTCGTTGTTTATACGTTGTCAGATCTTACTAAACCACATAAAGAACACTACATAAGCAAAGTATAAATACGTCACTGTCTACGTCAGTTTGAAGACTCGTCGTGAATTTAACAAGCTCCTTATGAGTAAATAATAAGCGATATCAACCACATTGAAATCAAAGGCTGGAAATGTAAACATAACATCCATCGTGTATGAAGGCCTAATGCGTTTTTTTTTTTCTCTTTTTCGCTGAAATAATTTTCCGCTCAAAGAGTTTCTATGTTAATTAAATTTAGCCAGTTCGACGTGTTGCCCTGCACGATCGACCACAAACCATACAGCCACGAACATTCGAGACATGAAAACTGACAAATTCTGCCCCTTTACCTCTCATTAAAACCCAAAATACATTGATTACAATCTAACCTGTTTCTGCAACGGTTGCTGCCAGTGAAGACAAGCAATATTTGTACGCAAAGCTATTGATTCCTTCAGCCATGATACACTGTACTCACGCAAACAAATTCAAACGTTACACTATCGCCTGAAAACAGTAACCGCTGACCCCTTGAAGTGACGCCTCAGTGGGGGGGAGTGGGGGCGTGAAGGGGGAGTGATGCGTCACTCGCGTACCGCATGGGCTATAAAAGGTTCAAAATTCAGAGAGATATTTCCCAAAAATAGCTACAAATCTGCAAAACCTGGATTATCGATCTGTCATTTTGAATAATCTACTGAACTCTGAGTGGTTGGTAGGTATGAACATTATCACATCAAACATCGCTTTCCTTACACCTTGAAGTTTTGTTTGTAGCTCATTGTATTTTAGTAAAGAGATATTCTTTGGGATTTGAGCAGTTTAGTGTGATAATAGCCTTTTTAAACTTTCCTCCGAGAGATTGCAACTACGACCCTGGTCAAAACTCCCGGGGGGGGGG